AAGAAAGTAATATTCATCTTAGATCGAACCGTTGGTGCCCATAACGTCACACTGGAGCATTATTGCAACAAATTTTTGGTGATCGGCTGACGGGCATAATTTTTCCTTTAACATAAGTTTACGTTATGTTTGTATCGAGCTTTGCATAGATTTTGGCAGTAGATTGCAATTTAGACATTATTTCCGTTTACTTGGCGGCATAATTGCGGACTTGTTAATGAAGTTTCTATTTTTTAACTGAATACGAGACTGTCAGTATTTTCAAATAATTTTCTATAAGTTTTTAAGTTGCGTACTATCGCCTCAACACGCCGGATTGTATTTCGTCCGAACGTTACTAACATATGCTTGCGTCCTCACTCAGCGGTTACCTTCGCTAGTTGTGCGCACAATAGTGATTAAGCCGGGTTGTAGACAGAGGGGAAAAAAAAGGGCGTTTGTGTAGACAGTAACAGACAGAATTCGCTTGAACTGGCGAACCTAGAAATCCGAGTGTATGAACATGATCAGACTTTCCTATTGATTAAGCATAGCTATATATACTAAATAGGATTTCCGATGTTACAAACGTAATGCTAATTCTGGCATACACACATTATGTAGGGGATTCGGTATAAAAATGGCAGTAAACAATTGAAAATTATTTTAAACGTTTCTCTCGAATATAAGATTATATTAATTTTATCTATAAAACATAGGTAATCTGACAGGTAACTGCCTGTTGGGCGCTTAAACTAATTTAATGTACTACGCATATATTGTGTATATGTTGTGTATATATATTTCATTCATATGAATGTTATTAATTAATATTAATGCCGTAATTACTCTTATCAAACTTCTACTATAATGATAAGTAGAAGAGAAGATTGTAGAGTGCTAGAGTTTGTCTTAAAATTTTGAAATGACAATTTAATTGAAATTGATATACACTCGAAAGCTAAGAAAATTAAATCAAAATCAATTTATTATTTTTATGAACACTCATCATCAGCATTCCGACTTGTCGTTCTTTCATTAATTCTACTTTCTTTATTAGTAAATGTTAAAGAATGTAAGAATGTTTTCTCATTTTTTTTCTCTCTTTTGATTCTTTCTTTCTTTTACAAAATTCGCCTTCGAGTTATGCAACATAAAACTTGTAATACATTTAATGTATCAACGTTTGTAGCGTAGATAGGTTGTGATTTTAGATCATGTTATGTTAGAGACATAATTTTGCTTTATACACTTGATTTGCAGCTTTCAAAAATAATAATGCTTCATAATTACTTGGAAAACTTTCAATAATTTCACACAACGCAGAATGTAAAATGTTTGCCAATGCCTTGCATAAGCAGAAAACAAGGGCCTCACTGCTTCAATGTGTACATATACTAATAACCAATTGAATCTTTTAACAGATAATGTGCAGTAGTTTGCCTTTAATGGCAGGCATTTTTTGTTTCTCTTTCGGAAATGCTTTCTATTATGGATTTTAATTAATTAAATGATTGTAATCAGATTCATCCAGAGTCATCATAAGATTGCACATGTAAAATGCATGCAGACTGAACATAAAAGGCTTTAGGATAATTGTTCATTTTTTTTTTTTTTTGTACATATATGAATACATTGTTGAGTGGTGTTGAATTTTTCTAACACATGGAAAATATCATTTTGTATTTAGAGAGTACTCGATATTAATCATACCCTATTGCAATTTCCTATCATCGCGGGAAAAAACATGTACATATAAGGTGAGCAAAGTTTCATTCATTCATTGCTGACTTTTAAGCAACGCCTTATGAATTGTAAAGGTACTAAGTATCATTTGTGGTTGTCAATATATTACGATATCCATCATACGTGCGGTTGATTGGCCAAATCGCTTCAGCTATCTTGCTCTCCTGAAATCATTCCAATCATTTATCTAGAAGATAAGTCGTTGCCAGAAATTTTTCCTTGTTTTTCTCGTTTCCACACATACAAAGACGCCTCTATTACCGAAGATATTGTAAAGCATATATCATCTTAACTAAAATAAAAACTTTGAAGCAAACTCGGCATATCTTCCTTTCGAAACGCTACAGCTGGTCAATGTAGAAGAAGAAAGAAATCAGCGGCTGAAATGAAACCATGGAAAGCGAAACAAAAAACCAAGCACATGTTCGATAAACAAAGCGTACAACCAAGTTGTTGCCATACGTGGGAAGTCAGCTTGTAAAGACAGCAATAACCTATCAAAGTTCACGGCAGTTATTTCGTCTCAGGAATTTCGCGTTAGGTTATGCTATAGTAGCTTCTTAGGCTATTTTCAACAAAAAGCTTAAAATTCCACTCACATGTAGATGATCAGCATAAGATTCAGTGACCCGTGAACGGCCATTTATCGCGCCTTAGCAGCCGGCCAGTCTACTGAAAGTGTGAAACGTTTATAAAACGCAAAAGCATCAAATCTTCCTAAATTGTGGACTCGGGCACATGTAGAAAAATTATAAAAAATTTAATAATGAAGTTAAGTGGAAATTACTGCATGTACACACATATACAGTAGTTACATATAAATATATACACAAGTGCTAACAATAATTTGCCATTAAAACATTTCACAAAATCTAGTTCATATTTATTGATGCAGTCAGCAACACATACTAACTGGTACTAGTACATGTAGAAACCATTGTTTTATTCCCTTTCTCTTGCTCCCTACATTTTCCATATGGCCATGTGTGTATGCATGTATATCTATTAGTTATTGCTTAAACTAATTGTACCATCTTTTTTGTATAATAATTTGAAAATCATACACAATATTAAACTCATTTCATTCTAAGCATATAATTTAGTTATAAAAGTGCCTGCCTTCCCTTCGAATGTATGCTTGCTTTAAATTGTGCTATATACATGTACATACATATATATATATATATATATATATATATATATATATATATATATATATATATCATATATATATAATGTATACATTCATACAGTTTATTTGGAATTAATTACTGAAATTATTGATTTTATTTTATATTTGTGCTAATTTATATACCAAAAGCTAAAGAGTAATATTTCCCTAGAAAATTGTTTGAAATATTTTGTTTTTTCATTTTATTTAAATATTATTAACTTGTTAAACATTTATATAAGCGTGTTAGTTCGATATTACGTGAACCGGAAACACTAATGATTGTATTACGAAAATATATAATATATATACGTATATATATATATGTATATGGAAGATAAGCTTTGTATATTTATAAGTAAATGCCACCCTTTCCTTAAATTCTTTCGTTGATAAAATTGCTTTATTTAAATATGAAAAAAAAAACTGGTACAATTTTTAGTATATGTACAGTATGCTTAAACAACATAGTGTTGGGTAAGATGGATGTGACTGAATTGAGAAAATCAAACTGATCCTTGGATAATCGCATTTTATTTATATCTACTCTGTTATATAGAAAAGAAGAACTAAGGGTTGGATTTGATTTCGTATGTCTTGATAAAAATAGGCGTAACTTTGTTTACTCCTATTACGGTTTTTTTTTTTTTTTATGAGTTCACTGACGATAACATGTGACTAGTGTAAGTAACATTGACCTAAAATGCAAGAACGTCAATCTTTTTATTGTAAATCAAATTATTTGAGATGAATTTCCTCTTACTGTAAAATTCATCAATTAATTGTGAGGTCTTTTTATGCGATTTTTGTGCTGAATCAAAAGAAACAAAATATTTTGACTTAAAAATTTAGAATGATAAGTGCCCTACTTTCCCCATTCCCCACCGAATTCCAATCTTTCATATTCATCACCGAAGGAAAAGAGAAATATTCATTTGATTAAATGATTTGCAACATGAAGAAGGACTCTTCCTATAAATAGATTAGCATCAATTCATCCGAGCTAATTTAAGCATGTCCGTCTCTCCGTCCGGGTAATGTTGTTGGGAAGACATCTGCTAATCACAAAATGCATGCTCAAATCTGGAAAGATATTGGAAGATCTTTCATCGAGGTAGGTATTTGGAATAGGTCAAGACGGTCAAAGGACACGGTAAGAACATTCCCATCTTCAACAACATTATTCATTATTTATAATCTGCAACAAAAGTACATCCTATGGGCGATGCTACAGCACTGGCGTAAAAATGGAAAAAATTGCCCAAGTTTACCCCCAACAGTTAAGAGAATCGTAGTTTTGCTTTCTTTCAATTTTCTTCAAGACAGATTGTACTGGATATGGAAGATTCACAATTTTCTTACATGTTTGGTTTTCATTTTATGGTTTGGCATTTACTTTGTACCCAGTAAATAAAATTTATAGCTCGCTATGGCAATGTCAACCGATTGAATAGTCTCCACAAGAAATGACGACTATATCGATAAGCGATCTTACGCCAGTTGGCTATTACATATTACTCGTCGATCACTTTTCTCGAGAAATTTTGCAGGTTGTAAGTTGTAAGCTAGAAGTTCTATGAAGGGGTATGTCTAAATATATTCCGATTTAGTCACTTTTCAATCGAGTTCGACTTTGGGTTAAATATCGTCAGTGTAGCAGAGGGCATTTATGTAACTCAAAGGCTGCTTGCGATCAAGCAGGCAGGGCAACATGTTTCAATTGAACCAGAAAGTGATTCTGAATCAATGGATGTAAAAAAAAGTTGAGTCTACGCTAAGACTTACTGCTACACATCCATCTAAGCCAACTAAACATGTCCTGTAGATCATAAATTGCGTACGATATAAATAAAAATAAAATAATTATAACAATAATTAAATTACAACTGTGATGATATTTTTTGTTGTTTTACATTAATATATTTTCAGAGAATGCTATGCGTGCTACGCATGTTATTCATAAATGTCTATGCCTGTGTGCGTTGACTTCAACTATCTTAACTGTATTATTGTCTACAATTGAGCTAAATGCAAAACACTAGCATAGCCAGCTTGAAAGTAAAAAAGTATGAGAGCAACATACAGTTTTTCAATGTGTACTTACATGGTGCCTTTGGGTACTGTCATATTCAGGCCATCTAATATAACATTGGGTGACTTTTTCGAGCCATACATTTTATGGGCGCGACGTACACATACAGCCTGTTGACGCCGCAAAGCTAACGTGGATGGCTGTGACATAAAGAGGCGGCGACGATGTCCCAAATCCGTTTCAGGATTAGAGGCAGCCGCTGTTGTTGGTTCAACGGGTTGAACTCCCTCCGATTCAGCATCCATTTTTATTGCTGTTGCTTTTCTTGTTGCTGCTGTTGTTCGATTCTTTTGTGAACTCGTATATTGCTGTTACTGTTACTGCCGTTAATGTTTTTACTGTTTTAATTTTTTTTTTTTTTATTTTTTTTATTTTTTTATTTATTTTATGCAACAACACTTGGCGACCGGGGTGAATGAATGAATAAACGAAGAAACGAATGGATGAATGAATGAATGAATGACTGACTGCAAAAGTAATAATGTTTTCCCCCTTTTTTTTTTTTTTGTTTCGCAAATTATGCCTTTTTAACTATTGATATCAAGTTACGAACGCAACGTGAAAGCAATTTTTCATTTGCAAACGCAAACACACTCAAACGAACTGAAGGCACTCGGTCGAAGGGTTGCTGCTGGTTTACTTTTCGTTTGTATGCGTAACAATTTTTAAATGCGTTAACGAAATATGGGTCGCATAACAACAGGCACAGGCACATAAGCACAGACGTATGTAAGTTGTTGTATTAAAATTTTATGTGATATGCGTGTTATTCTTGTTTGCAATAATGTTTCAAAACATACAAACAATCATACGGTACTTTGTAAAAAAAAAAAAAAAAAAAAAAAAAAAAAACGAAGGCTCCCTACGCTCAACTTTGGTTATATTTTGTAAATATTTTCGTATTTGCTTGAGTAGTCACAAGCGTTGTGCTGTATGCTTTTAGATCTTTATGACATTCGTTATGTTGTTGCAGCTATTTTATATGCAACTATAACTTGAATATTTATTTGCTTGTGCGTCTTAGCCTCAGTTTCAATTTGAGTTCTTCTTCTTATGCTTTTTCAGTTGTAAATGTTTGCCTATCTACAGCTTTACACAAACACGCATATATATATATATATATATATATGCTATTTTGATAGTTGTTTTTAAGTATGCGTATGTGTGTGTTTATGTGTATATAACAATATTTATGACTTTCTGTCGATTTGTTAAGTTTAACTTGTTTGTCTTTGTTGTCTTTTCAAGTACCGAAGTTATGACTGCAATTTCTGTTAAGCAGGGCAATCCAATTGCCAGCGTTGTTGCTAATAGATGATGGTTTGATGGTTAGTGCAGTTATTCTCTTGTTCTTGTGACTAGCTGCAGACTTTACTTGTATAGTTTTTGTTTCGTTTGTATTGTTTTCCTTTTTCCTGTTGTGTCTGAGTCACCCTTGTTTTTCTACTTTTTTTTAATTCTTTTTGTGATGCTGATGTTGTAGTAATTCTGCAATGAAAAGACAAGAAAAGAGATCGGAAATGAATGACACGGCTTACCATCAGAGACTGATGAGTACGAATTTCAATTGTAAATGTAGGAAAAATTACAAAAAAAAAAAAAAACAATCAAAACGTTATATAATCTAGCAAGGTCGCTTATTAGATACCCTACTCTATTCCACCTAATGTAGCTTTGTTTATGCTTTCACTGTTATTTTATTTTTTTAACTCTATTGGATTAGAAGGCTATTAAAGCAATCATCTCACCCTATGACGAACCAAAGCACTCGTTAACTGCGAACATCCAGGCGAATGCGTATATTTAAGAAAAATCAATTTCCTTCGAAAAGCATTCAAGGATGCGTTAAGGAAATTCAAAGTGTCGTTTACTGGTTTCCAATATCTAGCTCAACGGATGGATGAACGAACGATAGATAGGTACACGCGCTATCATAATAGTTTAAAGGATTTCTATAGAATCGAAAAAACTATAATCATTCGCTTAAAAAGTCGGCCGATTGAGTTTGAAGGATTCTTATCTCCACCAAAAATTATATTCGGTTGTGACCGCATTTTTCACACCCATCACTAAATCTTCATACTTTGTAATATCGGGTGCGTTGGGTTGATTTTTGCCATTTTCAGAATAAAAATGAAAACTTCCATGACCTATGTATACTTGATGAGTAATAAGCAAAAAAGCACGGAAAGCAGAGAAACAGATATCGTTACATCGATACGTAGGCATTGTAGGCGTGTTCTCTGATCGGTTTGAGTTATTTTCAAATTTTTTGGCGTATTTGTAGGCGATGTCTTCATTTTTGCGAACGAGAGGATGCATACCACAGCTACCACTTAGTTGGACAGATCGGGTGCATTCGAAATTTGAAACTGGTCCAGAATTATATATAACTTATGGAGGTTTTCAAGTTTGGCTTTGCTCATTGACAAAAAAAAACAAAATTTTGATATACTATAATATTGAATATTTATACATGTACTCCAGCATCGTTCGCAAAGTGTACGTTCAATTTCATTGTAAATTTTTACTGCTGTAGCGTATCAGTGGTGAGCAAAGAACCTATTTTTTATTCCTTTTAAAAAACACAAGTGTTTACGCTTTACATTTGCCTGTGGGCAAAGAGTTTCAATCTTCTTACACAGGCGGACCGACGGACATGCTAAAATCAATTCAAAATTTAAAGCTTATAAAGAATGTATGCACTTTGTGGAGCCTCGGAGGTGTTCTTCTGGGCGTTGCAAACGTTTTAACGAAATGAGTACACCACTCATGCCTCATTGATTGGTATAATAAATTAGAATTAAAACTTTATCGTTAATTTTGGACATGATCCTGAACCGATTAGGACTATTTTTGTATTAATCTATTATTTGGATCAATCAGGCCGATGAACATAGAAAATTTCCCGAAATATCTTCACGGCATCAAAAGTTGTAAACAAAAATATGGAAATATAATCGGTCTCTTTCAAGGTTGTTTCAGTTTCTTTGACATCGTAGACGTGTATTAGGACAAACGACAACCGCTTTCAAGCTCTAGGTTTTTAATGTCGGTAGTTCTAGAGATTAGATGATTCTTTCTTTTTTGTTTTTGTTTTTATACAAATTCTCACAAGCTGCTTTACCAAGTGCCGCTGAGCTTCTTAGATCATATATACCTCACGCCTATAACTCCGCTCTTACCTTTAATAATAAATTCAACGAATATTATTATTTGCTGGTATCAAAAAGTGCCCTTTTCTTAGGCTGCCAGAGCGGTATATAACCTCTTCAGTTACTTTCTTTATCTTTTAAACTATAATTAATTGAATTAACTTTTAAAATTTTTAAAAAGTTTTGTACTTCTATTTATTTAAATTTAGATCAAATAAGCTCTGTTGCTGCAGGTTAACTAATTCGGATAAATATTTGTATTTATCTAAACGAACAAATACGCAAGTTACTTAAAAACCAGTTACTATTAATAAAGTGAACCATCGTGCTAACGATGTCATATGCTTTTGCTTTGGCCATAGTGGGATTAGTAAAAGTTTGCGTTTTAAGAATTCGAACTTCGCCCTTCGCACACGTGCATGTCCAGCTAATTGCTAAAAGCAACCACATTCACAATGAGTTGATGGGTTACATATAAAAATAATATCAAATTTGATGAGGGATAGAGAGAGATAGATAAAACTAATGAAATATTTATTTTATAAATATAAGCTCTACAGTATGTTTCAATAAAACTTTTTATATGAATATAAAGTAAATGAGTTGCTTACATATAAGGGTTTTCTCTTCAAATAATAGCAAAGCATATATAAATATATAGTTTTTTTATTTTTTTTTTTTTTTTATATGCATCTCTAAAGATATATTAAATTTGTTAGACATTTGTTAGGCTGTAGTGAAAAGGTCTGTAAGTCATATATCCAACCATGTTAACCTTATGGCTTCGTTGAAATGATTTTAAAATATTGTTTACTATCTTTGTCTGAAATGTTCTTTTTTCACTACTTGTTTCCCGTCTTCTTTATGCTAATTAATTTAATTTTCAAGAGCAAGCTTACATTGAGTCACAATTAGTGAATATATGATAATTAAAAAATTTGTTTTTTTCCGGTAAGGTGGTGCGCGTTATTTGCCGAAGACGTTACGTTAAGTTATAGGGCATGTTGGTTTCAGAGGACGCAACATTTGAATATTGTGCCATTTGTACGGTAGAATGTTGCTTGCGAAAATAAGCAGACAGCATGATAGCTGACAATTCAGGGTAAATAGAAATGGAGCGCTATACGACCTAAAAATCTATTTCCATTTTGGAGGAAGATTTGCCAAATAATGAAGGCTTAGCAGTCACAATTCGCTATTTACATGCGCAGTTTCGTTGAAATATTGATTCGTTTTAACAAATATGAAGAAATCGAGTGAAGTGAGTTTAAATATTCTGGTCTTCAAACATCAAAACAATTCGTGAGAGTGTTGCTGAGAGTCTAGAGGCATCAATTGGGCAACGTGTTTAAGACTTTCTTGCTTTTGCGAAAGCTGCGCACGTTCAATTGTACACAGTTCAGTTGATCCAAGAAGAGAAGAAATTGAACGCGGTATCAATGATGTTCAGCTGAATTTATGTGAAGCGCAAAACTGGAGAAGTTTGCAAAGGAAGAGAACTTATGTGACAGCAATTTTTGATTATAAGTCTGTGTGTTGTATGAAAGCTACTTCTGGTGTAAATTTTACAACAACCTATACGTTAAGCTTTGGTCGAGTCATGTTTTTATAATGTTGGATACAGGTGCAAATTTTTGAGAAAAGAGAATGACTCTTACGCTCACGTATACCTTTAAGATTAAGGCTTTGCAAAAAAATTTCCCTGAAAAGAGCTTACATTAGCCTTAGCAAATGTCTTTAAAGCATACGAAATACGCAACTGACTCTCGGTAAAGTTTGTACACTTTTCATCGACAGCAACAGTCGAAACCTTCGGTGAAATGAGTATCAATATCCGTCCCGTCAGCCCCAGAACTATAAATGACTTGCGGCAAAATATTGGTTAAGCTGGCGTGCGCGCTCTCGACAAAAATAAAAATCATTGCAAAATTAGACAAATCTGAACTCAACTGATAATATATTTTTATCTATTGCATCAGACCTACAATGCCTAACAACTACACACTATACTAAACACTAAACAATATACGAATTTTGTTATTACAGATTGTTTGACATACAAATACGTATTAATGTTAAATATAATTATAAGCAGATCTGTCTGTGTGTCCATCTCTCACTATTATGAAAAGCCGATATCAAGCACACATGTGCTTTGCCCAAAGTAAACAAACTGAGTCACATAATCGACATAATCCGCCTATAAATATGCCCATAGTAAACAAAGGCATATCGTTGCTTTAAAATTAGATTAAATGATTAACGGAATTAAGTATTTTTAGCTGACACGTAGATATCCAAGATTTGCCCTAAGGTGCATTTAACTTGCCTCTTACCTCTTTTGTTTATTATTTACTTTTTTTTTTTTGTATATATTTTTTTAGAGAATTTAAATCAAAGTTAAAACCAAGTAAAGAATTTCTACCTTAAATAAATATTTGTCGTATGTTTTTTTAGTAAGAAATTTTGAGCACACCTGTGTCGTTCACACATACGTGCGAGACCATGCACACAACTTGTATAAACAATTTCCAAGATCTCCACTTATACTAACAAGTCATTAAGTAAAACAAACTTTAGATAAATCTTTTAGAGATTTCCTAACTTAAACCAGGCTAGAATCTTAACTTAATACGTACCGATCCTAGTTTAAGGTTTGGCTTAAGCAAAAAGGTTTGCTTATCATTTTTTCATATATACATGTATATATATGTATTTTATTTTTTTTTTTGTTTTCGTTATATTTGCATACTTTTATTTTTTTTTTTTTGCATAAATTTTTTTCTCACTGCACTTTGCTAGTCTTATATAAAAATTGATTTATTTTTTATTGCCAACATATTCTCTAGTGTCCAATTCATTTACCACTTCTATGCGCACACACACGGCATATACTTTTGCATGTACATTGTAGCATAAAACGCTTAAGCTGGCGACACATGCACGCTTGCTGGGTGATAATAAATAAACTGTATTTCATTTTAGTTACAAAAATATATAAACATATATACATATATATTATGTAACGTTTGTACCGATATCAGCTATTGTCGTAGGTTAGTATGAGTGCAATTTTCTATGGCGACGAAATGAAAAATTTTCTGAAAATATTTTCGATTTAATTTTATGTATAAAAAAACTAAAACAATATCCTCTCAACCATAAATATTTGGTGATTTTTCCTATCCATGGCTAACTATGGGTTTATGTAAACTATAAAAAAGTAAAATTTTCGATATTTTATTATTTTTGGTAAATTTTCACTACGAAGAACATTGCGCTGTTTTTAAAAATAAACTTCAACGATTTGATTGGACTGATCTGGAATTATTT